GAGTAATCAAGCTACTGTGTGTTATGAAACAATAATTAAGGGTGCGAGATTAATTAATTAACTGTATTGAAGCTCTTACATATTTTCTATCATTTTTTGTAGCAAATCAGGTAAATTTTCATTAACTACATCCATTCAAAAACGTGGTGAGCCTAGCCTCATCTACAATATCTAAGAACTTTAATGGGTTCCCTGGCTCATGTACATATGCCAGTTGATCTGTAACATCATTACCGACAAGGGCATATTCCACTTGATCTCCGGGACGTTCTTCCCAGAGTAGGAATTTGGCTCGAACCCACTTGGTCCAATTATTGTCGTCGCCAATAGAAACCTCCAAACTCTCGGATGCACGAATTTGTTCCGCAGGCGCCCCATATCCCCCAGCTTTTAATCTCAATGTACTCCCCCCATCCTCCCAAGCACCCTTTTAACATGATATGGCAAGATCGTTTGTGGTGCACCGGTATCAATCACGCACGTATACTTTTTGTTTTTATTCTTGGTGTCATAAAAATCCTGTGGAAGCAGAGCGATTAAATTATTTTCACCAGGTCTTCTGACGCGAACTCTGATCTTTTATTTGGAAACATCAAAATAACTTGGAATTGTAAATATTAAATCTTAAACAGTTCTTGTCAATTACACATTGAAACCTTGTAATCGGCTCCATTATTAGTACGTTGACCAATCACCATCTTCGCTGGCTTACTACGTGGTAGACGTGTCTGATCAACAGGAACTTGGATAGCACCAGGCATAGTCTCAAGAATGTAGTTCAATTGATCATCTGTATACTCCTGTCCATACTCAATTACTTTCTGGTTGTGCACCGTTACCCATTCGTTTTCATGTCCAGCAAATTCGCCTTTGTCGAGTGCGTTGTAAAAAAATATGAAGTTAAACCCGATCTCGTCGTCAAATTCGAACTCAACGTCAGCAATTTTTCTGAAGGAATTCCTCCTGAAGCGTTCTGGCATCGAGGAAGGCCACCTGAAGTTGTTTCCTATACGAGCTATAAATAGGTTAAAGAAATATTTTAGCATTAACACTACTTAAATATATAAAAGAAAACTATAACCCATTACCAAGAAACCTTTGCGTTTGACCAGGCTCTTCCTCATACGCGAGGTGGGACTCCACAGTTTCAGGTAGGTTGGATATTGTACTAGTGGCGATTGGAGCGTCAAGATGAAGTGCGTCAAGTGTGCTGATGATTGTAAGGTCTTGAGTTATGGTGTCTTGAGCCGTGGTGGTTGAAGCGTCTTGAGCCATGGTATCTTGAACTATGATTGAGGTGTCTTGAACGTCGTTAGTCTCGGACTGATCGCTTGCTGAAGTGAGAATATTTGTTGACAGTTCAGGTTCGCGACTATTTATTATGGGATCGATTGAAGCGCTTTGAACTGTGTTTTCTTGAGCGATGTCGGCACTTTGAACCGTGTTTTCTTCAGTGATGTCGGCGTTTTGAGCTGTGGTGAATAGTTTCTTTAACTATTTGAGTACAATATACAGTCTGGTGCAAAAGTCTTTGGACTTTTATTTTAGCTTATATTTCAATAACTTATTAATAATACAATACAA